ATATATATATATATATATATATGAGATGGTCACACACTTGAATAATTTATTTTATGGTGGCCATTGTGATAGGAGCGTGCTAATTGTTTATCATGAAAAGAAAGATTATCAATAGGAATTTTACCTTCTCAAAAAAAAAAACAAAAAAAAAAGAAAGATTATCAATAGGCAATTATTGTGTCCATAAGAGCATGGCTGAATGGTTAAGGTATAGAAATAATAACTTGGAGATCTCATGGTCAGATTTGAGCTACGACACTCAATCACTCAGTATGGGCTCATCAAATCTAGCTATGGCGAATAGGTTTACCTGACATCTCTGCACATAAGTCGACTCTGACACCAACATTCATTAGCAACTACATTTACGCTTCAATCCCAAGCAAGTTGTGGTCGCTATTTGAATCCTCAATGACCATGCCGCTCCATTAAGCTCATCTTAGATAATAATAATAATAATAATAATAATAAATATTTTTAAAAAGTAATGACATATTATGAATAAATATTTTTTCTGTCACTTAAATAACTATCAAAATTTTATAGTCTATGAGTATATAAGATATAAAAGACTCTACAATCTTTACATTTTATTTGCTGGTAATGTAGTGTTGAGAATTGGATTTGAGTTTCTCTACACTTCCCATGACCAGCTATAGCCTAACCAATCTTCTCCTACCTCGGATGGTAATTTCTTTTACCATCCCTGTCAAGGTTGGGAAACTTGATATCGTTAAAATAATGATCTTTACATCTTAGTTTCATATTTGTATGAAGAGGACACACCTTATTATATAGTAATAGAATTAGGCTGTACACATCTGTGTGTGACATTTAGTTATTTGAATTATTTATTGAACTTAAGACAGTATCTCTTTATACGCTTAGCATCCTCTTGATGCTAGCAATGAATCTATTTCATAAAAAATATTGATGCGAATTTCTAAAAAATAAATTATTTATTGATGCAAATTTTCAATTTTCACACTTGAAACTGTTGTAGCCAGCGAGCTGCTTTTTCTAGAGTACACATTATAAATAATTTTGATTGGAAGTTCTGGTTTTCACAGAAATGTCATTCTGGTTCATAATCTGGTTGGATCATTTGGTCAAATCCATAAAGCTCTTCCCCTGTTTAGTAAAATATTATCACATCATGGAATTCTTTCTCTTATATGGATATACTGTGGCCTTTCGTGCCAATTCTTGTTCTCTCTGTGGCTTTGCGTTGCAGCACCTGTTATTGTTGTTGTTAATTGTAATACATGCCAAATTCATGTGAGCTAATTGTGTTAAACAAGATTTGCCTTTTATTGGGATTAACTTTTATCATTCATGTTATGGATTTCGCTGCCTATAACAAGTTACAGCAGCAGGTGTATCTTCTTACCTATCTTTTGATTGGTCAGTTGTCTACTCTCTCACACAAAAAGAAGAAAGCATGTTCACCTGTGTATATCCTTACATATTCTCGGGCTTGGTTGGGAGGAGCAAGTCCTTATTCATCCTAACCTTTTGGTGCCTTGCAAATTGGTTAGAGTTCTGTGCGAACAGTGATTTTGACATGTTTGGGAAGCTCCACGGAGGACTTTAAGTGTTAGCTTATCAAAAAGAAAACTTAAGAACAAAAGAAAAAGAAAATACATCAAATGTGAAATTTGGAGTTACTTTTGTATCCTAGAAGCTATTTTTTTAAGAAAGAGTATACTGTTTAGTACATGACGAGGTGTTGGAAAAATTCAAGTGCTCTTGAATTGAGTTGGGGAAAAGCTACCAGAGTTGTATCTTTCGGGGTGGCCCAGTGGTTTGGGCTTGGGACCTCCATCTTGGAGGTCTCAAGTTCGAAGCCCCTTGCCAGAGAAAGCAAGGGGTTTGCCTTCTGGGTCGAGCTCATCGCATTGGGCTTGCCTAGTGTGAGTTACCTCTCTTGTGTTGTTTGCGAGCTATTGCATAGGAGCGGGGTTTTTATTATGTGCGCATCCAAAGTGTAGCAGCTGCGGGTTTCCCTTGTCATAAAAAAAACAAAAAAACTACCAGAGTTGTAACGGTCTCTTGAAGATGGGAAATGAATAATCATCCTTGTAAAATGTTTTCAGTAAATATTGGACTTATTAACTGAATTGTTTTCTTTAAGTGCTTACTGAAGCTCTAGGACAATATGATTAATTTCAGGTCAATGCTGCTGGGGATCTCTGTGCTATTTGCCAGGAGAAAATGCATACACCAATCTTACTACGTTGTAAACATATATTCTGTGAAGACTGTGTGTCTGAATGGTAAGTTATCTGCACTTCTCTTCAGCCAGTTGTGCTTTGACTCACTAAGCATGTGCCATGCATGCTGGAGTAACCTCTTATCTCCCCTCTCTCATTAGTCACCTATAGTTTTAAAATTAATGAGCACAGCATGTATAACATAAGGTTGCAAATATCATATGAACCATGGACAAGCAATATTTGATATCCCTTTCTTCAGTTTCTTTGAGCTTATTCAACCTTGAATTGGTAATGGACTTTATTATGCCCAAGGCTAGGATCTTTCCTCCGACCCAAGCAAAAGGATAATTTTGTTTTATCAATTTTTACTGGATAGAAACACTCAAGCAAAAGTAGATATATGATGTGTTTCTTCTTTGATATGATAAACTTCATCCTCCAACCCAGGAGCCAACAATTACCCTTTCCCAATTAGCTCCTTCAGTGGCTCGAACCCTCAACCTTACTATCGGAAGTGAAGTGGGGGAGGTCTTTACTAGAGGCTATTTTGCTATGCGTCCTTATCAAAGTTAGGTTGACACAGTGCTATCTATTATGTAATGAAATAGGATGGCATCTTCCTTGCCGATGTTTTTGGTTGACCCATTTTATATTGACTTACCCTTTTGCAAATTAATATTGTGCAATTATGTTTTCTCCTGATTCTGAAGAATTACTTGTTTCCTCTGTCCTATTTAAAGCCTAGAAAACAAGCATGGAATAATTGTAATGAGAATTAGGAAAATTGCATTTTTTGTTGGTTGCTTGATGGCTCTAATTTGTGGTGCCAGGTTTGAGAGGGAAAGGACGTGCCCTCTGTGCAGGTCTTTAGTAAAACCTGCCGATCTAAAATCATTTGGTGACGGATCAACTAGTCTCTTTTTCCAGTTATTCTGAAGAAATTGTTGTCGACGAGAGGGAGTTTCTTCAAAAGCTGCCAATTTCACTAAGAACAGCTATAGCTGAACGCCCATCCACGGAAAAGCATATTGACACACTTATTTCAGAATCCTGATCTGTTTGCTCCCGAAAGTACTAATTGGCTCAACGCAGTCTCTTGAGGCCATTGTTTATACACAGTTCCACACAAGGAGCAGGCTATTGTTCATATGTTTGTATCCGTCCATTAATCAACAGAACTTTCAAGTGTACAATGTATGAAATAGTGTTGTAGTTAGATATATCTTTTTTTATCCCCATGGCCAGTTAGGTTTCATCCCCTAAACAAACCTATACAGAAAAATGATTATTTCTACCAGTGGTGTTTGTATGTAAAATCAAGCTGGCATCTTTTGGGAAAAGCATAGTCTTGGTTGCCTCGAAGATTTTGCGACCATCATTTAAGTTGTATCCGCAATGCATAAACATTTGTAAGTTCACCTATTTTAATTTGAGACATGCCACGTTTTGAGTTTCATATGATTGAAGTTCAACCTAATTTTTTTCTTTGATTTATTCTTTCAAAATCTCTAAATTTGTCACATGAAATTCTGTTCTCCTTTTGTCACCGCAAATATTATATAATTAAACCAAATGTCTACATAGAATTAGTAACAATAGAGTATTTAGGTATACAGCTAGCGCACACATTAATTTTATATGTATAAAGTATACCATATTTAATTGGAAATAAAATATTACAGCCAAAAATACTCTTCTCAATCATTAGAAAATTTAGTACCGCGTTTATTCTTTGCAAAAAGAGATATGGAGTATCATTTTTGTAGAATTCACAGCTCAATCATGGAGTATACCATAATTTTATCATACTTTTCCGTATTACTTTTACTTTTATCACGTTTCACTTATTGACGATCAAATAATTTTTCATCATATTGATTACAATTTATATAATTTTTAAATATGTAATTTTAAAGATTAGACAAATATGGAAATTAATTAATTAGACTACATGGGGACTACTAACCCTTTTCCACATTTCACCCCACTGTTTCTTCTCCTTTTTGGCATTCACTTTACTACTTCTCCTCTCTCTCCTCTTCTCACACCACTTCTTCATCTTCAACAAAATCTCCATTTTCCTTTCTTTTTTATGCTCTTTCATACCTAAGTCATTCATCCTTTTTTTGTTTTTTTCTAAATACCAACTTTTTGAAACAATGCCAACTTGGATTTGAAGCAATTCCTCACATTTTTTTAGACCCATTTTTGTTACAATGCCAACTTCTGCTGTCTGAGCTATTATCAACTGAAGTGTTTGACGTCAATTTCGATCCTGGTAAACTTTCATTTTATCATTCAAACAGAATAAGAAGTTCGCATTTTTTCCTGTGAAAAATCATTCAAAATTGCTAAAAATTGTTTTTAAGGGTTTAGGAATTGGTTAGTAAATTGATGGATCTGAGTTGTTTTAAGGGGAATCAAGTTCATTATTTGACTCCAGTCTACTTTTGAACAAGAATTACCACAAAAGGTGTTTGGAATTATCGACTTTTCAACGGGTTAAAGTATCAAGTCTGCTTGCCTTTTCATACTGTTACCGTTATATTTGTTTTGCAGTATCAGATTCTTCAATGAATTTAAAGTACATAAAGTGTGAACCTCAAGTCTGTTTGAGATATTTAAGTGCTTGAGTTTTCGTTTTGTTTTGCTGGGTTCATTTTGGATCTGAGAACTCTTATCAGTATATAAGTTGTGACAATTTTTGGGGCTTGTAGGATTTAATTGGTTAGTTTTGGTGCTTGCAAGCAAGCATAGTCAATATTGTTGTCGAGAATAAGAAGGTGTGTTTGCGGATTGACATTGTTGTGACTTGTGGATCTGCGGTGTGAATTAACGAAGTTGTGAAGCATGATGAGGCTTCTTGGAAGTCTCACGATGCTTCACCTTCTAATGTGGCTGTTTTGGTTGCCGCGATTAGGCAGTTCTCAGGTAACTGACTTTCCTATAGGGGCTGCGCGGGCACTAGATGCACTCCTCCAGGATTATGCTTATCGTGCATTTGATAGCCCGAGAATTAGAACAGGTGTTATCTATGATGGAAATGTCCCCTCGAATTTGACAGGGATTAAGGTGTCTGGATTGAGGCTTAGGAGTGGCAGCTTAAGGAGTCGAGGATTTGAAATGTATAAAGAGTTCAAAATACCTGTTGGTGTTGTTGAACAGTCTTTTGTTGAGAGGCTTGTTCTTGTCTATCAAAATTTGGGCAATTTTTCTTCAACGTATTACAACTTATCTGGCTACATGTACTTAGCTCCTGTATTGGGTCTTCTTGCTTATGATGCATCAAACTTGGCAGCAACTAACTTGCCTGAGTTGGATATCAAAGCTTCCGGTCAGCCCATCTCAATACGATTTTCAGATGTCAAGCCGTTGCCTGTTGGATCATCTCCAAAGTGCGTTTCAATTGACTTACAAGGGTCTCTGAATTTCAGCAATGTTTTGTCAGATAACACTTGCACAACCTTTCAACAGGGACATTTCTCTATTGTGATCGAGTCAATTGCTCCTGGTCCATCCCCTCCAACAGAAACACCCATAAATCATCATAAGGGAAAGAAGAACAAGTCGAAAGTCTGGATAATTGTTGGTTCGATAGTAGGAGGACTATTATTGATGTTTCTTTTAGGTCTTCTAATAGTGTGTGCGAGCAAGTACAAACACAAGAAGAAAATGCAACAAATGGAGAGGGCTACGGAGGTTGGAGAGTCATTACAAATGACTAAAGTCGGGAGCACAAAAGCACCGGCTGCTACTGTAACACGAACACAACCTACACTAGAAACTGAGTACCGACCCTAATTTGTCCCATCTACACAAGCTCTGCTTCACATGTCCACATTCTTGTTTTGTTGATGTTATATATTCTTCCAACCACACTCCTTTTTCTTGGTGTTGCTTTATTCAATTATTTAGTAGGTTTATGATAGCAATGTGAATTGTAGCATGGTTATTGTGTAAACAATAATCTTTTAGCTTTCACATTAGCCATTCATATTTGTGGTGGTTTGTTATGGTGTGCATTTATTCTTTTAGCATTTGTTAGAGTTCATTGTGATGAAAGTTTGTACAATTCATTGACAAGAAATAAAATATTTTGATAGGTTTTTTTTCTTTGCTTATTATGAATTCTTTCCTGACACCAAAGATATCACATCTAAAGTAAGATGATAGTGATTCAGTAAATGTCATTTGCTTTTTGTTGGCTTCAAGCTGTCCATGGAAGTTATCCTCCCTTTTCCTTCAGGTTAAAAAGTACAAATGCATTTTTTTTTATTTCCCACCGGTGTCCGGTACTTCATATTGAAGCTTGACTAAATTTGGATTCACGTTGGGAAGTCCCACATTGGGGATAGAACGCTCCCTAACAAAGGCGATACAGAGACTCAAATCTTAGACCTTTTGATTAAGAATGAAAGAGTATTTGTCACTCCACTACCATCATTGTTGGTACAAATGCATAATTATTCAGACACCAAACACTCTTATGCAGGGGCGGCTCAACGTAATCGGAGGCCTAAAGCGAAATCTTAATTAGAGGCCTAAATCTAAATAAACTTCACATGCATTTATTTAAAATTTATTTTTCTTACATTTTTAAATGCAACGTATTACCTAATTTTTTTTTTATATATAAATGATTTATTCGATTTCTTTTTCAATTATTAGTTTTAAATAAGATTTTATTAATTCAACGTTGAAAAATATTATTTTACTCGGGCAATCATTATATGAATTGTTAACATAGTTCTACAAGTAATAAGTTGACAAATTTCAAATAAATATAAGAGTTAGAACCATAGCTTTGATGAAGTTGATAATTTGGTTAATCCACATTTTACTATGGTTGTTGTAATGCTTGAAAATCTAAGAACAAATGGAAAAAGAATTTACAATTCAATTTGTTCAACACTTTTTGACTATTAAGTGATATTTTTGACAGAATATTACTGTAACTTATCAACAATTTAAAGAGGAGAGTGTAAAAGGAGTTAAAAAGAAATAATGTGAGTATTAGTAGAGAGAGTAGTAAAGAAAATAAAACAATATTTTCTTGATTTTTTCTATTTGTATTGGGTTGAAGAGAATAAAATAATAAATTTAAATATATACTTTCTATCATAAATAATTAATGTTTTTCTTTAAAAAATTAACACATAATTTATTCTTGGTAAAAAATTGAGGCCCCCTCAAATTGGGGGGCCTAAGGCCAATGCCTTATTTTTGTATACATAGAGCCGGCCCTGCTCTTATGGCTAAAAGCAAAGGAATCCAATTCACAACTGGACAGATTTTGCAGTCTATTTTGCTCTTTGATGATTATAACATAGATGCAAAACCCTAGTAGCTATAAAATATCAACAAAATAAAAGTTAATAAAAGAAAGAGACCAAGTTTCCATATCTTGTTTAACTAGTAGTGGCACTAAAATAAAATTTAAGATTGGTCTAGTGATCAATGAGATGAGACAAACCTCGAAGATGAGGGTTATAAAAAAAAACATCAGGTGATTTCATTTATTAATCAAAACTTGTAAAGTAGCATGTGTTCGATGGAGTATATTAGTCAGAGATGCATACAAATAGATACATAAATGTGTTATTTAACTTGACTTTATTTCACATTTATTTTCTTCAATTTTGGCTATGCACAAGTAAACTTTTAAACTTGTATAAGGTTGAACAAATAGACACATGAGTCTTACATGATATAATACACATAAGACACAAATTGCCACTTATCTATATGTTCAATTTTATATAAGTTTAAATATGTATTTATGCACACCTAAAATTAGAAAACATAAATATAATTTAAAACTAAGTTAAATGACGTATTTATATAATATACAGAATAAACAATATTGATTAATTGGCTAGGGACTTGCTATATATGCTATTAACAACTTTTGAAGGAAAGGGCCAAGTGGAAGAAGCTGGAATAGACAGATAGAGTGGAAGCCATGAACCACTCATTATTTATCATAATTGGCTGAATGCTGATGAGTGGTGATGACATAAATATATAGTGTGGACTGTGGACTCTACTCCCCACTACATCTGTATTGCACTCTGCTGGATGTTCACGTTATCAGGAGGTCACAAATTGAAGCCGTAAAAAAGACTTCTTGTAAACAAAATACAGAATAACGCTGTATTAGTAGACCCTTGTGCATCCGGCAGAGGAAGAAGCCTAGCTAATAGTTCAATTGAATTTAGTATTTTTTGTTTAATTATGTATTTGTATTGAAAATATGTATACATATTAAAATTTAGAACCTAATTATTAACAATTAAAATCAGTCATTCTAATATCTACAACTCAAAAGTTGAAATTCTAGTTTCGTCTCTGTTGTCGTGGTCTGATTCTTTACTAGACCCCAAACTAATGCACCAGCTCACTTTTTTTAGCATTTTGTGTACATAAGAGAGTCAGAGATATACTACTTACAACTGT